ACCTAGAAAAAGATTCAAAACTGTTCAGCTGTTAAAGAGCCCAAACAATAATATAAAAGAGCGGAAAAATTCCCTCCAAAAAGAAAAAAAGAACAAACAACAAAATAATGACTGCAACCACGCGATAGATCGATTTTGTTTTACCAAATAATGTCAATACCATTATTGAATTTCCACTCCTACGCTCCCCCACTATTTACCATCTTCCATTGTGCCATATAGGTCGAAAAAAAAGAAAAAATGATAACAAGATAAATAAAAACAGAAGTCAACCGGCAAAAGCACTGGCAGAACTACGAGTAAAACATGCGGATAACTGACTTTCAACCTAAAATTTTGATCTATAAGCGTATCGCTGAAGGTCATTGAACGAATAACACTTCTGCCCTTTCTCATATATTCAAACTCACACTCAGAAAATTATTCCAAAGCTGCCATTTTATATAAATGATAACCTACCAACGAACAACTTCACGTTTTTTTTTCTGAATAAACACTCACAAAATTCACTCAAAAAAGAAAATAAAGCACAACAAAATAAAAAATAAAATAAAATAAATTGAAAAAAAAATCAAGAAAAAGCCTTGAAATTTTGCTAGAAAAAATGGGAGGAAAGAACGCGTTCCGCTGTAAAACTCAATGTTCAGTATTTGTAAAATATTTGTAAAACAGCTGCGATTATCTCCTAGCTGTCGTACTTTTTTTTTCTACCAACCTCTTCACTGATAATCCATAAAATACCCGCACCAGAAAAAAGTAAGAAAACACCAGTCTGTAAAACATTAGTCTGTAAAAAATAATAAAAAAAAAATATATATATATATATATATATATATATATATATTTAACAATGTGAATGCAAAAAATGACATAAATTAAAATCAAGTACATAAAGTTGAGCTCAAGAATCAGACAGAAACCTAATAAGCTGAACTACCTGTCCAACTACATTCCGAAAAGAAAATAACCACCTAAGACTGTGTTTTTGAATAAATGTTCATTAAAATTGAAACATGATAACGTTTATCAACCGAAATAAAAAAAAATGAAAAAAACCAGTTCACTGCATGTAAAAGAAGCAGCATTATAAAAAATTGAAAATAATTTCCATTCCCGGTTAAAGAGGGAAAAAATTAAATATTTTTAACTAAAATAAATAAAAGCTCCTCAATAAAAAAAAAAATGCTGCAGACTGATTAAATCATGAATATATTAAATCATGGGGAACCATTTTACATTTCAGTAGTATATAAGCACTCACTCTACAGTTCTGGAATATCAATAACATGTACAATAAATAGTACCAGAAGAAGAGACAATATGAAAAGAACTGAATTTGTTAACATCAATTTTACTTTGAGGAAAAAAGAATGAATTGTAAACACAAATGAAGGAAGGACAGAAACGTCAACAAGAAACAAGAGGGTTTTCAACTTATTGTTTGCTTTCCAGAATTTTTAATTTTGTACAAAAATATTTACCTTTGATGAGCTTACCATCCGCTTTCAGTGAGACAGCGTCTTATAGGTGTACATAATTTTTTAAACATAAAAGGCGACAAAAAAAGACGCCTAAAAGGAAAAATCAAATGGAAACTTTCAATTTACCCGCCTCTACAAAAAAAAATCGAAAGAAAAAATAAATAAAGTCTTCCAAACTGAACACTACAAAAATGGTGAAAAAGACTTCTCTACGACCAGCAAAAACCAGCGAAATATATAAGTACTCAGTGTATTAAGCTAATGACAGTGTAATAAACTATTAAACATTTTACTTGTTAGACTTCTATAAATGAGTAAATAAACAAAACGGCCGGTGATTTGCATGAAAACACATGAAAAAACATTAAAGTATTCTTAAAAACTACAACTGCTCTTGATAAAGAAACTTCTTACCAAAAAAATAAATAAATAAATAAAAATAGAATAAAATAAAAAAAAATAAAAAGAAAAAATCTTATTCGTTGGTGAAAAAAATCTCTAAAACAGCGACCATCCAATGTCGGTAGGAGAAAACAGACGCATCAATGATTTGTGACCAGGCAAAAATTACTCTTCTTTTGTCCGCAATTTTTCCCTTCCTCTTTCCAGTTTTCTTTTTTTTTTTTTTTTT